GAGTCAGAGAGGATGTCAGGGTGTGTGTGTGCCTCTGCCTGAGCTGTGAGCAAACCACAGCAGCCCGAGAAGAAAATCTTTTAGATAACTTGCAATAAACTGCCTTAGACCGGACAACAGAGACTGCTGAGCCTTTCTTTGGCAGCACGGGCTGGACGAGAGACTTTTCCACCACACAGAGTAACCCCCGACCTAGGGGTGAGCTCCAGCACAGGGGGAGACCTCGTTGGAGGAGCTCATGGTCCTTTGGGAGGGACCCCATGCTGGAGCAGGGGGAGAGTGTGACGAGTCCCCTCCCTGAGGAGAAAGATGCTTCACAAGCAAGGTGTGATGAGCAGACTGAACCCCCATCCTTTGTCCCACCATGCCAGTCAGGGGACAGGAGGCAGAGGATTGTGTAAAGTTAAGCCTGGAAAGAAGGGAGGGGTGAGTAGAAGATGCTTTTAAGATTTGGGTTTATTTCTCATTCTCCTACTCCGATCGATAATAAATTAAACTAATTTCCTCAAGCTGAGTCTGTTTTGCCCATGACAGTAACTGGCAAGTGACCTGTCCCTGCCCTTACCCTGTCCCAAACTCCGCAGATTTGTGTGCCCTGTCCAGCTGAGGAGGGTGTGACAGAGTGACTTTGGCACCCACAGGGACGATTGGCTGAGGATCAGTGGTAACAAATGCCTGGGGCTCCTTGGACTGAAGCTCTGCCCAAAGCAGTTCTGTCCCCCCGGCCATCAGGGGTGCGACACAGGGACTGCTCTGCAGGAACAGCACAGGCACACACTGAATCCTTGTGCTGTCGTGGCTGCATTACATTCACCAGCACGGCCTCTAAACATCTGATGTGGAATAGATATTTCCACATTTTTCACATTCAAGGATTCTCCTGACCTCCCCTATCCTTCTCTGCCACCCCTCAAGAAGTCCTTAAAGGAGTGGCTGGTGCTGGGCAGGAGCTGTGTGCACTCTCAGGCAGTGCTGCTCTGCTCTGTGCATCTGTTTTTCTTCACTTTCGATGTGGCAAATTACCAATGAGTTTTCAATTCACCAGAAAGTAATGGGAGCAGTCTCTGCTCTCATCTCAGTAAAGTATTTTGGGGAAAACATAACAAAGAACATGGTATTAAATAAACATTAATTTCAGTAAGAGGAAGAAGTTGATAAGGTCATTTTTTTCAAATTGCATAAAGTCCTTTCTAGAATGTTAGAATGTTCCTCTTCCCAGTATGATTTTTCAAAATGTTCAATGCTAATTTGACTATTCCAAACCATCTTTTGTTCTTTGTATTCAGAAGGAATTTCAGAGAAATTCAGGGGTTATGCAAACGTTCAGGAGCAGAAGATACTCTTTATTACCATTGTGCCAGTTATTGCAGGAAGCCAGAATGAGAAATTTAGGAGAGCCATGGAAATGAGAATTGCTCTAATTCAATAAGAGATTCATTGGCTTGCTAATTAGATTTGATCACTTGAGTATTTTATATTGCAGTGGTGTAAGTATCTTTCTAATACCTACCACATCTGACATAGGAACTTCAAATGCATTATAAAAATAGTAGAATAAATTTGCAGAAAAAGTTAAAGAAAAATAAATATCTTAGTTCTTTCAAGTCTTGGCAAATAATTCCCGCTCTGAGATGTCATTTTATTTAATTTTACAACACTCAAAACCACTTCAAAATAACATCTGTAATAAATATTCAAACAATAACTCAGATGATATTTTACTGTTACAGCTTACAGTAATGTCTGAATAACATCATACAAATTGCTTTATAAATCGTTTCACCAGCACCAAAACAGAGAATTACATTTTATATAATTCACTTAAGCACATGGAATTTTGACTACAAAGGATTTTTTCCTTACACTTCTTATAGAGCTGATTTGGTATGCTTTAACTTGTAAAATGACTCAATTACATGGTCCCAACATAAGGCAACACGGAAAATACCTGAAACCAATGTGGGAGCAACTAAGAATTATAAAATTATACTAGTTAGTCACAGAATTTCTACTGCTCAGGCTATTCAGGATTTTAAGCTTTATTTAATTCTGATAACAAGCAAGATCTGACAGGTAAGGCCTTAGCCCAGGATTCCGAAACTCTGGTTTCATGTCACCTTGGACAAGTTTCCTGGCTCAGTTCTCCATTCACAGCATGGCATTAAATGCTCCTTTCTATCTCCAAAGTCTGTCAGCACTCAGGAGCTCCCTGCCACTATTTTTTCATAAAAGCATTGGTACTTTGGGACTAAGATTAGAGCCGAGCTTGGTCAGAGTGAATGTGCAATCTTTAACACAGGACACGCTGATAAAATTGTTCTGGTGTTTAACAGAGGTAGGTGAATGATGCCCTTTGTGCTGCTGGAGAATGTACGAGGGACAGAGGGTGCCTGACACAGCTCCTGAGGCACAGTCCTGAACTGCAGAGTGCTGAGGACCTCCAGAAATACATGATCTATCAGAAATGTAGTGGAGCTGTTAATCACATTCAAATCTCTATTCAGCACAGCAGCCAGGGGGAAATTCCTTCAGTAACATCAGTGAGCACTGAAGAGAAAAAACCAGATTGCTTGGCACCCAAAATTAATTTCATGTGTCCTGCATGTTCAGTTTACTCAGGAGTTTCAGCACAAGATAAACATTCCAGCACAAAGCATGTGCACAAACTTCATGAAAAAGAAGCATAATGAAAATTGCAAAGTAAAAACTGGAAAATATATCAGATACATCTCCTGAATTGCAGAGTTGAAAAGGCAGCTAGCAATATGCTGAAGGAGAGCAGTATGTAGTCTGATCATTGAAAGACTGGGGCTGTCTCCAGCAGTTAGAACATCTGGAAAACAGCTGTATCTTTCTCTTGCAGTGCACTGGAGAATTTCAGCATCACAGCCACTACCATCTGCTGGATTGCAGGATCCTGGAATGGTTTGGGTTGGAAAGGATATGAAATATCATCTAGTTCCAACCACCTGTCCAAAGACCCTTTCCAGCTCTCCTGGAGCCCCTTTAGGTGTTGAAAGGGGCTTTAAGGTCTCTCCAGAGCCTTTTCTTCTCCATGCTGAACCGCCCCAGCTCTCTCAGTCCATCTCCAGAGCAGAGGTGCTGAGTCCTCTGAGAATCTTCATGGCCTCCTCTGCACTCACTCCAACAGGTCCACGTCCTTCTAAGAGCTCTCAGGAGAAACCAAAATCTGGCCTGCAAGGTACTCTGAGGCACTTTGCTGAGACAGCAGAAAAGAGAAAAAAAGCAAGAAATCTGCCTTGTTCTAAGCAACAAATGGAGATGTCCGATGAGCTGCCAGCTGAAATTACTCTGGAAATACAAACACTGCAATGCACTCTCTCCTAATGACACCAGGGTTTCCTAATTGACAACACCTGGAATGTTTTACTGATTTACCAGAGTCTTTGTGTTTTACAGCCACCTGTGAGGAAAAAGGCTTACAGCAGCTGACAAGATACTCAGCCTCACACTCTTATTGCCCCTAGTGACCAGATGGACCAAGTAATCCCAATTACCAGGCTCTGCAGGGCTCTGTTCTTGCAAAGGCACCTGTTGTCATAAAGTCTGCTCACGCTGCCGTTTCAGACCCACCACTCTTGCTGCCAGCAGGAACACGGCCCCAGTGAGAACTTCTGCCACAAAGGAGATCCAGACCAGTGCCAGGGACCAGCCAAACCTGATATCGATTTCCACCAGGAGATCCTTGCTCCTCAGGAGGCAAACAGCTTCTTGGAAGGCGGCGGCTGAATATGCAATATAGACACTGATCCCTGTAAGGGTAACAAGAGCTGAAAAGAGAAACATGTTCAGCTACTGAAGAAATTAAAAACAATCAATTGGATATGTCCTTCCTATTCTAGCCAGGCCAGATTTACAGATTGTCTTTGAAATCTACCTGAGGTTGGTTTCTTGGGCAATGAAGGGTGAGAGGGAAGTAAAGGCAGGGTTATTTGTGCCCACTGGGAATAATGTGTTCCCACTGTTAAAGACTGAATCACAGCACCTGGCAGCAAGCCCCCCTCACAGAAATCGGGTCCTGTGTTTCACAGGTATCTAATGCACGTGCATCTCTTTTCAGAACTGCATTGTAATGTTGCCTGATTCCTCACTGCTGAGCACCATGGACAGTTACCTCCCTGTATGCAGGAAACTCCACAGAGACACAGATTCTTGCATTTCAGGTCGCTGGATGGAGGCTGTTTCCTGAGTATTGTCAGTTTTGAGTGTTTAATGTAAATTTGTTAGTCTTCGCTATCACCTCCCACCAAGTGCTGTGCTGCCATGACTGCCCATCACTTCCAAATACCTGAGTCAAAGACACCATTGGGACAGACTACAAATAAATAAATAAGGGCACTCAAACAAGGAGCCAGATGTTTTCAGAATGAAAAGACTGTTCAAAAGGTGGCAAATGTAAGGAATGGCACATCTGGAACAGGTACACACTGCATCCTGAGCCTGGCATCCCTGTCAGTCAAAGGACAGGCACTGATGGGAATCACCCTTTACTGGATCAGCAGCAGAAAAGGCCCTGGATAAAAGGACTGCAGCCTAGGGAAAATATATACTGAAACACTTTCAGGACAAAATAGTGGATTTGATTCTGAGAGAGAAAATTTTGATATAGCTTTCTGTTAAATTACAGTAAGTCCTGATGAGCTGCCTTTTTGCCAGAAATATGTTCAATTAGAGGCAAACTGAGATAGAAGAGTATTGGGTTATCCATCAGTCCAAATTCATGCTCATAGTCCTGATTTTAACCATCATCTGATGCCTGTACCTTATTCTAGTCCTCAGCAAGGAGGGGGAAAAATTGTCAGCACAAATGGAAAAGACTGATTTGTTGACATTTTCAACAAGGTGCACTGAATTCTGTGCAAATGCTCTTGCAAAAAAAAAAAAAAAAAAAAAAAAAAGGGAAGCCTATAGGATGCTCTGGCCAGTGGAACATATCAGTTCTGAGGGTTTCAAAAACCCCACATTTCTGGAATGGCATCTCCAAATATCTCTCTCTGCTGAGACAGAGCTACCTAACTAATACTGAACTTTGTGACTTTGAGTGTCCTGCAAAACTGTTCTGTGCACCCAGCCAGAGCAGGGTGGGGGGCTGGTCTCAGCCAAAGACCACCCTGCAGTCTGTTCATGTTCTCCTGGGACACTGCACAGCTGCATGCCCAGAACCTCCTCAAGCCCTCTCCTGACAATCCTCTGTGTTTCCTTTCCCTCTTTGCAGCCCCAAACAGCTTAGAAAGGCGCCTGCTGCACTCCCCAGTGGGATAATCATGCTTGGCACTTGACAGCTTTTCATCTCTCACTGACTATTTGGAGCAGTTTTCCACCAGCCTTTTCAGTGAATGCAGCTTTCTGCTCTTCTGAGGAATTAGAATTTGCTCTTCTTTTTGGGAGACAATCATAATGGGGGGTGGTTGGTTGGTGTTAGAGCACTTCAGACTAAAAAGCTCAGTCAAGGCTTTGAGACAGCAGCATTTGCTTCCAGCAATCTCTTAGCATTTTCTTCTTAAAAATACACCTGTATGAGCAGTTGATGAGAGCCAATTCTGAGGATCCCCTTTTCTGCCGGGCAAAATTTCCATTTTAAGTTACATTGTGAAACAGCACTGAAAATCTGTTTGGAACAGAAGATGCAGATTTAAACACAGTTTCCCCACTTTGACAGAAAGTTTTTAGGTTTTTTAATTCATAAATAACTTTCTAAACACAGTGGGTTTGGATACAGCAGGAAAGAAAAATATAAAAGAAAGTGTAAAAGCATTTTACTAGCTTCAAATTGAAATGTTACACTCCAAATAAAATAACTTGTGGGGGTTTCCTTTTGTGACCCACACTTTAGGGACACCACTCTAGATCAAAACTAACAGTGAGGCTAAGCCAGGAATGCCTAAAAAGTCTCTTTTCAGGAACTCAATGCAAATGCCTTTTTAAAAATGTCACACAGCTGCAAAACCTGTGCAAGCCTATCATTTAGTAATTCCACGGTCACTTTTCCATCACCCCATTAGCCTGTCTGTAAAGATTTGTGCACCATGCTGAGAAGTTATTGAATCTTTTGTGTTAATGGGCACAGCAAACACAGATTGTTCCAAGGGTGACTCACTCCCCAAGGAGGGATATTTGCCTTTCCTAAGTAGCTCTGTTCCAGAACCAGGACCCCAGCAGACACCAGGTGAATGAACACCAGCATTATTCTGAAAGCAAATTCTTGCTTTTATTCCCTGGGAAACAAAGTGATCTTTCCCAGATACAAGCTCTTGGTATCTAAAACAGTTAGGCCAGGAGTTGGATTTAGTACCTCCAAAAAGGAAAAGCAGTCCCGTCATTAGGAGCAGTAGGTAGGCCCTGGCAAGAATACTGATGAATCCAGTCATTCCTCCAAAAATCATCAATATCAGGCTGAGGGGCATCAGGATGACAAATGTTCCGTGCATGTCTGAAGAAAAATGAAGAATGTTAATACTGTAATATTTTATTATGGTGTCAGTGGATGTACCAATAATTACTAAGTGCAGAGCCCCTGATCAGGATCAAAGCCTCATTCTGAGCTGCACAAACAAGAAATTGGACAACCCCTTGGGTTTTCAGTGTAAATCAGCAGGACAAACATATGGTATGGAGGAAAAGGTAACAAACAGAACAAACCCTCACAGGATTACAGCCTGTGATTCAAACAGACGCCACAGATATAGAGGGTATATCTACACAGATATATATGAGCAATCAAACTGTCCTCAGCTCTTGGGCCAGCTGGATATCAGGAGGTGCACTGCATACCACGTAGGCACTGGCAACCTTAATGAGAAGTAGCCCTGTGATGTGAATCACCCTGCTCTGCTTGGGAGGTGAGGTCCAGCCATGCTTAGATTAAAGGTTTCTCTTCTGTCACGTGTCCTCTGCTGCACTGATATAGCAAATTGCTGACCTTTTCCTTTGCTACAGCTGACCATCAACTAGAGGTAAATTTTCCCATCCAGCTCAGATTCTGTCTGTCACTGTTTTCTACAGCAGCTTCACTAAGTGCATTAACCTATCCTCCTTGCTTCCTCCCATGCTAAATGTTTTACATTAGTCTTTCTCAATCCCTATAACATTTTAATAGCTCTGTAAACAGAGGGTTGCTATGTATTTTTTCATATCACCCTGTTTTTTTTCCGTCATAAACCATTATTGTGTCATTGTTCCCTTTGATGTAATCTATCCAAAACATTCAACCCAACCTTATTTTAGAATAATAACAAAAAAAAAAGGTAATTCCAGTATCAATTAGTTTCATCCCAAAGTAAAGTGCAGAGTAACTGAGAGAAGAAAATGTAAAATCCATATTCTGAAGAGGTGTAGGCTTCATTGTCTCTTTTAATTTCACAGAGGAACAATACGCCATTAGCTTAGGAACAGGAATCACTTAAGAGCTCACAGTTGATGTGTGATCAAATAATTTTTTCCAGTCACTGTATCTGCCCATGGAATTGGAGCTACTGCATCTGCCACTGGCTCACGCTCAACAGTAGCATTATAAAATCAGACACAATAGTGTACATGTCTCTGTTCAGTTCCAGGGTTAGCCAGGGTCTGCATGGCATCAAGGCAGACACTGTTGGTGTTTGTACTTGAGTAGAATGTGGTTTCCAGAAATTGTTTTGTGTAGCACAGAACATGTTATTAAAAAAAAAAAAAAAAAAAAAAAAAAAAAAAAAAAAAAAAGGGGGGGGGGCAAATGACGAAGTTTTGGGAGGGGACAATTTTGGGAGGTTTTTTTCTGCTTCTGGTATTATATTTTCATTTCCAGTCCCACATATGCTGACATCAGAACCAGCTGATGCTCAGAAATCATGAATTCAACATTCTGCATTGAAGAGAGCACTTCCCCTCTTTGATTCTAAAGCTGAGGACACTCCCTGGACCTTCCTTCAGCAGAACTGGCCACGGCTGCTTTCCTGGCCAACAAGCACAGACCTCAAGCAATTCTCAGTGCCAACAGCCAGATCAATCCTCAGCTTACTGGGAACAAACCAGCATGTCAAAACTGCCTGCAAATCTTAGCTGAACTCCAAGATGAGAACTAGCCATGGAACTTAGCTCAGGAGTTTCGTGTGGTTAGAGGTGGTGCTGGGGATGGCATGAGGCACAGGGTGACAATAGAGATTGGGCACCCACTCAGTTCTCCAATTCTGCAGAGGCAGCAGCAACAGGAGAGTGGTCTTCAGCCACATTTGAGCTTGCTGAGGGTTATTTGGTCTCATTTTGATTATTCCCCACTGTTCTGACATCCATGTGTCATCTTAGCAGTGAAAGGTGAAAAAGCCATGGGAGGATAAAACCTTGGGAGGATGCAGTTAACATTTGAAAAATATAAATGTAAGAATGGTGCAACTCTGTTCTCAGAGCTGGCCTTGCTGAGAGAGAACAGACATCACCAAGTTCATGGCTGGCTCTCTGCCTTGTGATTTTCCAGGCGTCCCTCACCAGTCCAAGTCACTGCTGGCAAACTCCACCTCAGGACAGCAGCACTAACTTGACATTTCTTTGAATTTTCTTGTCATGGTGTGATTTCAGCTACTGCACCCTGAGTCAGGACATGTGTGGGTGAGCAAAACACACTCTGAATGGAACTTGATGGAGGAAAGGGAAAAGAAAACCATACCAGAGCATCCTTGGAGTTTCCTAGATTACATTAATCATCTGTGACAATTACAGTATCAGAATAACTCTGATTTTTATGCCCTCTTCAGTGAAAATATAGGGTTTAGGGGTAGCTCAGCTGAAACCCAGAAACCTCATTGTGACAGAGCCTTACTTTTCCTACCCACAGCTGGGATCACACTTCTCATTAATCACTGGCAGCTTTTAAAAATCAAATATTTAGTGAATTCTATTTGGTTAAATAGTACTTTTATAATCTCCAGTGTTCTAGTTCAATATCTAATACTCATTTATACTATGAAATCTGAAACTGACTGGGAAACTTACTCTAAAATGCTGCCATGGAAACCACTCAGGAATCTGAATTCATGCCATCTGGAATATGATATTATGCCATTATATTCCTTGATTAGAGGAACAGAATTAGTTAATAGAAGAAAATTACTTAAAATATCTTTACTGTGCTTCTGTCTTCAATAATCATCTTTGAAAGAAGTTAAAACATTCATTTTGCAGTCATGTTAGTGGTTTTTTTTGTTTCTGTTGAAATACACATTTATGTATTATGTATAAATATATAACTGTCTTAACATTGATGAAATTGTTCTAGTATTGGAAAAAAAAACCCACCCTAAGCATTTTGCACAAGAAGAGGCATGTGCACTTTGTTATAAAACAGAATTCCGTTTCCCACATCTATTTCTCAACACCTGAGTTCCCTGTTACATGAAAGATCCAATGGTTTAATCTTGGAAATACTGAAACTAGCTCATAAACTTTTAAAAAACACTCCCTTTCTTTGAAGCAAAAAATAATCAAATTGCTTAATCGTGGTTACTGAAGTTTTACATTAGCTAGCCAAAGCTCTTTTACTAGAGCTCTGGCCAAATATCTGTAAAAATGACATCTGCAATGTGTGTCCAGAACTGAGAATTTGGCAGGCATCTCTAAATTAGCGCCCAACACAGTTGTTGAGGGGTTGTTTGTGAGAGAACTCTGTGGAATGGAATAGAAACACTGAGCAGTGTCAGAAGTAAGCAAGTGCAAGCCCAGCAGTTTTGTTAATCATCTCCTGTTAACATCCTGCAGCTTAATTGCTTCAAACTAACTTTGGATTTGTTTGCGCAGCTTATAATAGCAAACAGTGCCTAGAAATCTGTAATATCACCTCATCAGAAATACTCCAAATGGCAGCAGCTCAGAAGAGCTTAATTAAGGGCCTGTTTGTGTTACCCAGCAGTAACTACAGAGCCGGTCAGAAAGACAAAAGCCTCCAGCTGAAACAGACCCCTGGCACTTGTCAAAACCAATGGGGCTGCTCCAGAAGGACTTGGCAAAGCCAAGAAGAAACAGTGCACACAGAAAGTCTGGCCTGCTTGCTAGGAAAAAAGTAAGGAAATAACTTACAAAACCAATGAACAACTGAAATATCTTGTCTGTGGCTAAATGTGAGTCTTCTGGGCTTGGGCCACAGGGACAGGAAGGCCTGGATTCCCTCCTGTTCAACAGAGAAAAGGTGATGGAGGAGGATTGCTCACAGAGTTAGGGGTCTCCAGGATGATTAGCCAGGCTCAGGTCTGTGTATTACATCTTTGGGCTTCCTGCTTTTCTCAAAAAATCTCTGCGCTAAACAGGAAAACAAATTGCAGACAGCAGAAATAAAATTATGCTAGACCTGGAGCAGGTGGCACTGACAAAATCTGCAGTAGCAGGAATGGGTAGAATGATGAATGTGAGCAATGCACTGTGGCTCACATGCTGTTGCTGGGGTACCAATGAATCTGAAAATGAGAATATTCATCAGAACTTGTCACTGGTTAGGCCTCAGCTGCAGTGGTGCTGAAGTTATCCTGGATTTCTGTATATATTTGCTGTTATACCTACAAGTGCTGGAGCAGATGTCCACTGGCACCTCTCTGAAGGAACAGTGCACTGTTGCTCAGAAACAGGTGCACACCTAGCAGACCAGTTAAGCCAGAATTTCTATGTGCATCATTTGGGTCTTATTTCACTTGGCCTCTGAAATGGCTCTTGCTCCAGCCCCAGCTGTTTCCTTCTGGGAGCTTAAAACCAAAAGAAAATTTGCAAAGAACTGTAAATCCCTCAAGAAAAAATGTCACAGTGGCCAAAGAATAGAGCATTCTTTCTAGCATTATAAACTCCAACTCAGTGAAAATGGAGCAGGGTGAAGTGTGAAAGCAGCTGGTGCATGACTCTTACAGGGTCCACATGCTGTGAGGAAATCCAGACAAGTTTATCTGTACTATTAAACCCATTTTGCTGAGGAAGAAACCAAGGCAGCTGTTACATTAAAACAACTGAGGTATCAGAGCTGCCTCTGCTGCAAAGATCATTTCCCTGCAGGAAGCACGAACTTGTCTGCAGCCTCGTGGTTTCAGTTACATTCATGTCTAAAAAAGAAAAAATAAAAATACTCTGGGGAGAATACTTAAAGCAGTGTTGCATGGGCAGCTGCATGCTCCAGTCTTGATTTTATAACAGGAAAAACAATATGAGTGGAAGCCACATCCCTTAAGTGTTCATTTCTGGATGGGTCAGGAATACAGGACAGCATTAAAAATTGACCTGTAAAAGGAAACCAATCACTGGCCATAATGTCCAAATCTCTGACAAAAAATCAGGATTGCCAGAGGCTTAATCTTACCTTGGAGGTACCTTATGGAGATTGGTTTGTGTGTCACACAGACAAATAAGAGAGAAAAGCTGTTCTTCTTACATTATTTTTCATAACTTCAGCCCAAGCTCTGCAGTGCTGGTGGGATCCTGCAGCAGCTCAAGTGCAAAGCTGAGATTCAAGAGAAATGGTGTGGTTTTGAATAGAAATATTTACAATATTTTTCATTTTGAGATGATTACACTGGTGCTGCCTTCAGCCAAATCTGTAATGGCATTTATTCATTATTAATGACATAGGTTTTGATAAATGGAAAATATTTATATGACAAAAATGTCTAAGAGTAACTTTTCACCAGTGTAACAAGTTGAGGTTTCTTGTTTGGGTTTTTCCTTTCTTTTAAGAAATTCTTTTAGAAAGCTCAGACTCCGGGGGAAAATATTTCAGCTGATTAAGCACTGCCATTCCTTCTACTCAGCAGCTTCCCTCTCTCTGTGTGTGATCCTCAACATCTAGATCTGATTTTGGATGTTACATTTCTGCTACTGGAAAATGGAGAAGCTGCTCAGAACTCGATGCAGCTGCCTTTGAAGCCAGTGACATCCTTATTTTGTCATTTAGAGAGAGATAGATTCAGCTCACCATGAAAAATGTTGCTCTTGCTGCTTGTCTGCCATAGCTAGCACAGGGGAACACATGGCAAGGCAAAACATCAGGGGTGTCTTCGCTGACAAATTTAAATTCAAAGGGGAATTTTCAGAGGGCTATCTTTAATCCTAGTAGTCACCAAGAGACTCTAATAACTGTCTAAATTATAAAAAGTGATACTTTCATTTTATTCCTGTGTGAGCCAGAGGAAAGTGTACATCTCCAGTGAAAAAGAATTTTATTAATGCAGAACTTTCAGAAAAGCTAGTGGTAGGCAGTCGAGTGGTATTTTTCTTCAGACAATGGATGATGTTTTAAACAAATAACCAGGCCATAGTGCAATGTATAATAGGAAATTATTTTATCCATTTGAGGGGAGAGAGGGAATATACTGCATGTTCAGCTGGGGGGAGTGGTAAGAGAAAAAAGGGAAGGCTAATGAAGAGGAGAGAGTGTTTTTGTGTCCAATCCATTAGAGGAGCAGCTCCAGAGCACTGTGATGTGAAAATGCATCACAGTCCCAGGCTTAGCAAGCCCTAGGTTGATGGGTTGGGTAATATTGCTGCTAGCACAGGGTTTTAACTCATGCAGCCAATTATTTTAATTTGCCAGGAGCTCAATTTGCAGTACACAATAAGGCTAAAAGGAATCTGCTGGGATGAATAGGGGAGGTACTGGAAATGTGGAGGAAGGGACCATGGAGGCTTTTCATTCCCTAATGACGGGTTTGTCTTCTGGCAGTGGCCAGGCTTCTGCTTCCCCTTAGGCCCTGCTCTTTGCATTCACATACAGACTTTCTCCAGCCTCTTTGCTATTTGTGTCTAGCTCAGACATGCCAGGAAGTGCATTCAAACTCTGGAGAATGAGGGATGTGACCAATGTGTTACTTAAGTGCCTACTTTAGGAGACAGTCCTTTGAAGTCTTTTAAGGAATAATCAGAAAGAAACAGGTTTGATGTTGCCAGAGCTCATGAAATTCAGTGCCAATCAAACAGTGAGAAATATGAGTGTACAGCTAGATGGAATGAGATTAATCCCATGTGACTGTGCCTCACAAACACCTTCCCAGGCATACGGAGAGAAAAGTATCATTTTTGTGAAGTAATCAATTAAAGCTGTGCAATTATCTTGTTTGCCACATATAGCAGCAGATTAAGAATCTGCTGTAACTGCACTGCAATCCATGATCACAGAATTGCCCTCTAAAATTCTTGTTAAATCTGTTGTAGATGAAGATGGTTTGCCATGATCTGCCTAAATATGATTCAGTGGCCAGTCAGAAACATTTAAGAGACAAGAGTACAATCTCAGGACCTGATGAATCTAGATGTCACTTAAAAATATCTGTATTTCCTGGAAGGAAGAAGTACTGACATGGTACTTTCTATGTTCAGCTGCAACTGTTGAGGATCTGTAGCCTCACCACACTGAAACTGCATTGAAGCTGAGCAAAAAAAATCAAAAAGTTAATTCAGTAGGGCATTCCAATCAAACATAGCAGGTTATTTCAATTGAAGAGAAATCAAAGATATTTGATTTCTTCTCTCATCACTTTTAGGCAATCTATGCCTGTTTATAATAAAATATGCAAGTGTCTTTGCAGACTTGAAATCTTTTTCCAGGAACATGAAAACAGTACTTGATGTGAAAGTGAGAGAAAAAAACTCTCCAAGGCCCTGAAGAGTCTGTAAACATAATTATTAATACAATTTTTATTCATATCCACTATTTTCCTACACTTCATGACTCACAAAGAGCCATCCTTTGTTTCCAAGCAAACATCATTTTTATAACCAAAAGAGCACTGCTTTTTGGTTTTGTTTTTTTATTTAACTGATGATCTGCAATCTCTTACCTGAAAAAAATAGCCTTTTGCAAATATGCACACAACTTTTGAAAAGCAAATTGTTTCATCCTGAAATGTTGGACTGTCACCAACATAACAGTGGAGATGCCAACACTTAAAACATGATCAGGCAGGCTCAGTTAAAGTGCTGACCCCTCAAAGGCTCGAGTGATCCAGCAGACAATCACTGATTTCAGACTCCACTGATTTCAGAACCATGGAGCAGCTGCAGCCTCTGTTTTGAGCCTGGAAGATGAAAGAAATGGCATTTCCTAATGGAAAGCACAGAGAAACATGCTGGGCTCTAAGTCCTGACCCTGCTGATGTGTTTATATGGCTGCTGGACCACCAGAGGCTGCTCCAAGAAACTAAGGACCCTTTAAGCCCCTCTGGAGCCCAGGGAATGGCTGGTTTTGAGAATGGTCCATTTTAAGAAACAGGACAAATACATGTATTCTGCGGCTTCAGGAAGAAATAAAAAAAAATTGAAAAAAACAAACCCATACACAAAAGTGTGTGAGGAAAGTTTTGTGCCAAATATGTGATACAAAGATGGTAAATCATCTTCTAGGACATGACTGTAAGTATTTGAAAATGTTCCACTTGGACTTTTTGAAAACATTCTGGCATTGACAAATGAATCTAAAGAAAAAGAAGAAAATATATTAGAAGCCTAATGTTTTTGAACACAATGTTCTTCAAAGACTTTGAACACTGCTTTTGGTCATTGATTTATTTTCTTAAATTCTCCCATACTTAAGTCTTTTATCAGTGCCAGGAATCCCACTGAAATGCTAGAAAAGTAGCTGTGTTAAAAATTAGTTTAAATGTGTTCTTAAGCACTTTCAGTGATCAAACTCCTTTGAGGTGATTGTGAACCCTTTTGCCCTCTATTTTTAGCAATTGTGTACCTTCCTGTGCCATTCCAGTCAGAGAGGTTTTGCTCCTGTGGAAGAAATTAGCTGAACTTGTCATCAAATAGATGGTTATTTCAACAGTAAACACACTTGAAGACCACAGGCAGTGACAGATATTGTACAGAAACAGAGTCAAAACACTTTCTCAGTGAATTCCCCCTCTGAATCAGAAATGAGTCCTTGTAAGTGGCCAGGGAGGAAGGGGAGGATGAAAGGAAATATAAAATAATATAAACGCTACTCACACAAAAGCTGTCTGTGTGAATCGGTGATGTTCGCATTCTCGTGCCAGAAGGGGTTTATCAAAGGGTAACATTCACTCCTCACTATTAGAAAAAGGGGGGAAATTAGACTATTATATCTGTTTGCTACATATATATTTGGTTTTTTGCGTGTACATATAATTCCTATAATACCAGCTGCTTCTAAAACAGCCACTCCTAGGCAGGGAAGGAAATGAGGGGATTTTCAGCATGCAGCATCAGCTGCTCCCATGGGGCCTGACCACTGGAGTCAAGAGGGAAACATCAGCTCATTGCATCGGGGCTCAGTGCACAGCACAGAGCGAATTCCTGTAACCTGTTCCCTCTCCCTGCTCCTCTGGAAACAACATCCTTTCTTGCCTATGGCAAACATTACTTACTCCTGCCTTTTAAGAGTGGAATCAAAGCCAAAAGTTAAATGCCTAGCATATAAATTAACTACATGGGGAAAATCCCATCTATTGATATATAGGATTATCATAATCCTATATTATGATACATAATAATACTTATATTTAAATAAATTGCATTGTTTGGGTAAATAGTGTTTATGTTTTTATTTGTTATATTACTATTTATAATTTTAATGGCTTTAACCCAGAACTTTTGCCCCTTAATTTCCTGAGCCAAATGAAAAGACATCTCCTTCCTTCTAAATGGTTAACGCTTATTAGATTATCTTGAATTAAAAGTTAATGTAAAATCAGGTTACAATAGCAGAAAATTCGCTCTCCCCATGTCTTCTTCGGCGAGTGACACGGGAGGTATTGACAAGGCACTGCCCGCGGGTCCGGGCACGGCCGAGGAGCGCCCGTCCCTTGCAGCACGAAGAGCCGGAGCTCCGCGGGCAGCGGGCACTGTCCCCGAGCCGGACCCCGCAGCCGAACCGATCCCGCATCCCCATCCCCGCATCCCTGCATCCCCGTGTCCCCACAGCCTGACCCCGCATCCCCATGCCCGCATCCCTGCATCCTCGCGTCCCCACAGCCTGACCCCGCATCCCCAGGTCCCCACAGCCTGAACTCGCATCCCCACAGCCGGACCGACCCCGCATCCCCATCCCTGCATCCCCGCATCCCCGCATCCCCACAGCCTGACCCCGCATCCCCGCGTCCCTACAGCCTGACCCACGCAGGTGGACCCCGAACTAAGACTCTTGAAGCTGCATCCCCGCGTCCCCACAGCCTGACCCGCATGCCCCCATCCCCATAGCCTGACCCACGCAGGTGGACCCCGAACTAAGACTCTTGAAGCTGCATCCCCGCGTCCCCACAGCCTGACCCGCATGCCCCCATCCCCATAGCCTGACCCACGCAGGTGGACCCCGAACCGAGACCCCTGCAGCTGCATCCCCGCGTCCCCACAGCCTGACCCGCATGCCCCCATCCCGTATCCCCGCATCCCCGCATGCCCACGGCCGGACGGAGCCCGCATCCCCGCATGCCCACGGCCGGACGGAGCCCGCATCCCCGCTCCCGAGCCGCGGGCGGAGCGCTCCGCTGCCCCGGGCCCGCCGCCCGCGCACTCACCGCGGCAGGTCCGCCAGAGCCCCGAGTGCGAGCTGAGCGCGTCCGTGCCGTTCCGGGACGCCTCCAGCTTGGAGGCATCGATGATGTACCAGAAGTCGGTGGCGATGGCCACCACGAGGAAGATGAAGCTCAAAAGTCCCACCAGGGCCACGAAGAGGGAGAGCGCGCCCAAGTTAACCCTCATGGTGCCGCCGCCGCCGCGCCTCGCCCGGCCCCGCGGCCGCGCAGGTAGCGCGCCCCGAGCCCCGCCCCGGCCTCTCCGCGCCCCGCGGCCGCACCGGGGACCCCGCGGCCGGCCCGGCCCCGCAGAGACCCCGCGGGGCCCCGGCCCCCGGCCCCGAGCCCGGGCCAGCCCCCGCGGGCGGGTACCGGAGCGATCGGGCGCGCCCGCGGCGCTGACGGACCGGGACGGGCTGACAAACACCGGCACCGGGACCCCGATGGCTCCGGGAGCCCCGGGACGGGCTCACCTCGGAGGGGAGAGGGCGCCTGCATTCCAAACACCACTGATGGAGGGCAGGAGGAAGCAGAAGGCGAGGTTTGGGGAGCAGAGACAGCGGTGGTGCTCCTGCAGCCTTCCTGGTATATTTACAAGAGATTGCCTCTTGTTCTGTGCCTTCCAGATGCCGACTTCAAAAGGCCAGTTCTAACCCAAATTAGGTTTCAAATTGAAAGGGGGTGTGAGAGAAGGCAGTAGCGTGGCATTTACTACCTGGTGTAGTGATGTCTGTACCCTGCTCAGGATCATTTTCCTGTCGGAATGTCACCCACGGAGGGAAAGAGACAAGCTCCCTCTTCCAGAAACTATAGTTACAAAGGTGTTCATGTGGGAGCCCTAAAGCCACACTTCACCCAGCCTCCTGCTCATCTTCAGCCCGCTGAATTCTGATGAGTAACAAAGTGTATTTCAGTAACAGAACCTTGTTTTCAAACCCGCAGAGAATTTACTCTGGTGTTTTACTCTGTCTCTTCACTGGCATAAAGATACTGTGCAGGTAGGGTCAACGGGGCATCTTGTTTTTTTTTTTTTCCTTGCAATTCACTTTAAGCCTTCTAGGGAATTGCTAAGTAACTCTGAGTAATTAAAAAAGTCATTCTCATTTATTTTCTGGCATGGACACTGGGCAGAATGTGTGACATCATTACCCAACCATGGCAACAAGCTATCGTGAACCAGTAGGGCTTCAGCACTAGGATCAGTTAAAAGGAACATTTTTTTTTGAGAGAGAGCATTTCAATAAACAGAGTAGTCGTCAACACTACAGACCACATTTTGCTCTGCAAAACTACTGAAAGGTGTATATGGCTGGGAATATAATAGTCTTTATATTTAGGAATGCACTGTTAAGCAGCCACAGCATCATTCCGAGTTCTTGCTATTTGTCACATCTCCAAGATTTATCTGTAATCTGTGAAAATGCCTCTGTAGTTCCACAAACCAGGCAGCTGCTACCTCCTTTTAATTGCAATGTTTGGGTGATACAAAGTTAATGAAGCAAAGTGAAATGTTTTCTTAGACTAACTAACGCAGCGAGAAAAAATGAACAAGCCTTGGGGCACCAGTCTTAATGGGGATCCCAAGTTTGTCTCTTTTTTTCCAACTACATTTGCAGAGTTACTTGAAAGTTTAAATTAGCCCCACAAATACCATGTCTTAGACAGAGGTTTTATCAGTTCTCTTCTCATAACTCTGATCAGAGGCACTCATACACCTGAATCTCACTCGCCTGCAATGATCTGCCACTGTCATCTCCAGTTAATGCCAAGGGAAAGCAAAGGCTATAAAACTGCAGGAATATTTAAACTGGGTACAAGCTGTTAATCAGGTATGAGATGCTCATCAGTGATACTCTGGGTCTTGGAGAGGTTTTGTTCTAATCTTGGGGCCCATAAAGTTTGTAAATATGCTTGTTTTTAGAAACATTATTAAATAATCTATTTAAGCCATCAAGATGTGCAGAGGTCCTTGTAGACTCTGTCTAGACTGACTTTACAGTAAACCTGAGTTAGAGCCTGCTAACTCCAGGTCCTTTTTTGACCAGACTGCTGACAAACATTTATATCAAGAGTAAATCAACACTACATAAAGATTTAATTCCCACATCACTGTATTTTTTTTAGGCATTCATTGCCATGCTAGGGAACAAATAATTCCTGCAAAGTCAGAAAACTAAGAACATAGTTAACAAAACAATTTCATGTATTCATTGGGAAATGATTATAATGAAAGGAAAAAGCAGTAGTGCAAATTAGTTTCTCTAGAGACGCAGTTTCAATTTCCTGAGGTCTTTCAATGTTAAATTAGGATCTTTACCATAAAAGAGTCAAAATTTTAATCTAGGCTTAGCTTTATGGAGAAAGAACACTTTGCTTTGCATAGACTAGGTGTTGGTTGCATCTGCCAAAGTCAATATGCTGTGCAGAATAACAAAGATAATTCAGAATATGCTCTCAAATTGCAGTCAATTATTAGTCCCCAGAGTGTGATGCAGCAAGATTATCAGTCTCTTCCAGCCTGAGCATGGCAAAGCTTCTGTAAGCAACTTTTACCCTCTCTGCTCTGCTTGCAGGGTTGGCTGGGTGCTGGAGTTCTCGTGGTGCTCTGGGAATCCCCAGCTTTGCTTCTCAGGACTTTTCCCAGGTAAAATGCATCTCTAGAGCAGTTCCTTCTCAACTGCTCTGAACCTGTGCTGTTCAGAGGCAGCAGAGTCCCACTGGATTCCTCAAATTTCCCCAGTGTTTCTTTATTTCGTTTCCTCTGCCCTGTCTGTATTTGTGAAGAGGTGACTGCATTACTAGAAGTAGATTATTTGTAAACTGAAGAAGGGAGGGATTCCCACGATGTTTACCCCCCTGATTGTAGGAAAACCAGTCAGTGCAAGTATGCACCACTGACTGTAATTAATTCCTGCCATGGTGACAAGCACAATCAACACACCTAATTTCATTCACAATCCTTTTCCAGGAAATATCACTTTTTTTTTTTCTCCTCTTTTTTGTTTGTTTAGTTGGTTTGGTTTGGTTTGGTTTGGTTTGGTTTGGTTTGGTTTGGTTTGGTTTGGTTTGGTTGTTGTTGATGATGTTATTTTTGTTGAGTGAAGAATTAAATTCAAATGCAGTTTTACCATTCAGTCTTCCAGTAAAGCTAATGGGATTCTAGAGTTTATTTTTCTTTTAAACTTACCACAACAACTTCCCCTGTGGCTCAAAAGAGAAAAGCTGTTAGACAATATACATTATTATAATTTTCAGATTTGCTGCCCTTGGAAATTAATAACTACTGATTGGCTGATCTGAGGTTTGGCTATTCCTTCACAGATTTAATCTTTTCATCATGCACTTGTACCCATTCAGTTTTGAAGAGTCACAACCTACAATGAATTTAAAAAAGGGCTGTCTAGTCACAATTTATCTCTGATGAGTGACTACAAGACAGACAGTATCCTGACTCTTAGTCAATATTACCTGATCTGCCAAAAAAACCCATTGAATTCAAAGGGGGTTGCAGGAGGGACATAGCAGAAGCAACCAGTACAGTTTCTTGGTACTTGATCAATGGATAAAACTGGCCCGATTCATCATTTCAAACAAGCAATTAAACTTTGGTAAAGTTGTCTGGCATGTAAGGTAAATTTAAACAAATTCCTAGGTCACATGGCTGTGAGGAAAACAGGAATGTAACTGAGGTGCATCCTTAAAAGAGGTACAGGAATTTACTGCCAAAGCCCTCTTGTGTGTAGTACAGAAACTGCAGCTCCCTGAACAATTTTCATCATGTTATGTTATCTTATGTTTGTTATGTTATGTTATATGTTATGTTATGTTATGTTTGTTATGTTATGTTTGTTATGTTATTCTGCAGCCACAAGATATTCCTGCTTTGCCCAAATATTATGCATATGTGAAATGAGGTATCAGCATTTCTTAGGAAAGCAATTGCAGCAGCATTGCTTTTTAAGAAATCCATTTCTCACATAATGTACCTTTGTGTTTAGAAGTGCCCATGTAACACAGCTTTTTAGCAACTTCTCTAATTATGCTAAACCTGTGTACCAGTAAGTGCCTCTTGGTCCAGACTGGTGAGATTTTGTGACAAATATAATCTGCTTTGCCTGCTTAGTGCTCCATAGCAGTGAGGAGCATGCCAGAGGAGACACTGCAGTAATAATTTATGTGGCAGTGTATCACCACGGGAAGTAAAATAATGTTCTGCTCTTTCACAGGAGACGGATAAAAGGGAACAAATCTCCAAAGCATTTTTGTCAGATAGCCATCCAATAGAATTCCCCACAGTAATTGCAATGAGATAGCTGAATGGCTTCTGTGTTTTCCATTTCATTGCTACTCAAAACTCTTGACTGTAAAAATAGGGAAAGATTATTTAATTATTTTCATAATTATTAGCCTTTGTTGAGGGAGGCAGATGATAAGGTGACATCTAGAAATAGATACAGACTATAAATTATATTCCAAGGGGTTTTTATGCATTGACTAATACTTCTGAGGTGTCCCAGGCAGTGTCCGAGGGGTCCCGGGCACTGTCCGAGGTGTCCCTGGCAGTGTCCGAGGTGTCCCTGGCAGTGTCCGAGGTGTCCCTGGCAGTGTCCGGGGTGTCCTGGGCAGTGTCCTGCTGCTGAGGTGTCCCAGGCACTGTCCGAGGTGTCCCTGGCAGTGTCCAAGGTGTCCCTGGCAGTGTCCGAGGTGTCCCGGGGAGTGTCTGAGGTGTCCCGGGCAGTGTCCGAGGTGTCCCTGGCAGTGTCCGAGGTGTCCCTGGCAGTGTCCGAGCTGTTCTGGGCAGTGTCAGAGCTGTTCTGGGCAGTGTCCGAGGTGTCCCTGGCAGTGTCCGAGGTGTCCTGGGCAGTGTCCGAGGTGTCCTGTCCCACACCATTGTCCCCTCTGCACTGATCACACAGCCCAGCGCCAGCCCAGCTGCCAGCTGGCACTGGAGACGAGCTCAGCTGGGAAATGACTGCTGAAGAGACCACGGTCCAAACCGTAGAAACTAAAACTAAAATCTGGTGGTCTAACTCTTAGGCAAATTTCTGTTGTTAAAGCCTCCCAAAGACTCTGGTTATGATGTTTCCACTCAGTGATTAACTTAGTCTTGTTTACTTCATCTGGTTTACACGTAGTAAAAACTACGTAGTTAAAAACTTCAGAATTAAGCAACTAAACTCCCAATTCCCTACACAAGTGAACAGCTGTTCTTCAGCTAATCT